AAAGCTTAATTCTAAACTTACTTCTCATTAAAAGTAACTTCAAGGAATCCTGTTTAATTGCATCTATTTCACTATCTCTGCTACTCACAGTACCTAGCAAGGCAACTTCTTTCCTGTGCCACTCTACTGCACTGTGCAAAGCAAATGTCTTCACTGCACAAGCTGTGAAACTTTCCCATGGAAATAACTGTATCTCTTCTTTCTTCCTRACGGCCCCCCTTTACGTGCACCAACGGATTTACCTCTCAAGGGAGGCTTGGCATGGATCTTTAACGCCATCTTTTTAACTGAGCAGCTACCTTTGCAGCGCGGCTCGCTGGGGCTGCGGGACATGTCCCACGGCCAAACACCCGAGTGTGAATCACCCTGGCGCTTTTCTTCCGTGGCTTTCACCGTGCGCACCGAAACATGGCGAACGCCATCGCCAACGAACAGCCCCAACGGTTTCAACGGTTCCAACGGCCGCCTGGGAGGCGGGGCGGCTGCCGCGTGGTGCCCCGCCCCGTAGCGCGCGGGGAAGCGGAGAGCCGCCTCCCAAGAGAGGCTGGAAGGAAGAGAGGTTCCTGAAAAGAGGAGGAAAAAGGAGGAGGAAAAAATAGGAGAAAAAAAAAAAAAAAAAAAAAAAAAGAAAAGAAAAAAGAGAGAGAGAAAGGGAGAAAATGCGCGGGAGGGGCGGGGGAAGGGCGGTCTGAGGCCGAGGCACCGCCCCCGCTATAACATGGCGGCGGGGCGGGCCCGCGGGCGCAGCCGGCAGCCGGCAGCCGGCAGCGGGCGGGCCGCGCCATGGGGGCGCTGGCCCTCGCCCTCCTGTGCTGCCTGCTGCGGCCGGGCGCCGGCTGCCGCCACGGCCTTGGCGGCGGCTGCCGGCAGAGGGAGGAGGAGGCGGCGGCGGCGCTGCGGGTACCTCGCTCGCTCGCTCGCTCGCTCGCTCGCGGGCCGCGCTGCGCAGCCGGCCGGGCCGGGCCGTGCAGCCGTGGGGCGGCAGGGCCGAGCCGAGCTGGCAGGGCAGCAGGAGGAAAAGGGTTCCCTAAGTCTGGGGTGGGGGAGGCGGTGGGGAGGATGCTCTCTTTTCTTTCTTTTTCCTTTTCTTCTTCTTTCCGTGTTTCAGACACGAGGTGTCAGCCTTGGGCAGAGGGGAAATCGCCGTGGGGCTGGCAAAAGAGGAAGTTTGGCAAATTGTCAGGCCCGCATGCTCTGCTCGTGCCTTTTAACAGCATCACTTATCTAATGTCAAGATGTTTTTTCCCGTGTTTGTGAACCCCAAGGCTTGTTTTGCTGCCAAAGAAGGGCATCAGATGAGTTTGACACGGCTTGTTCTTGACTCATTTTGTCTGATTTGTAGCAATTTCTTGCCTTCTATGCCCTTACAAATATATATTTTTTTTCAGAATCTCTCTTGAAGTTAGTCTAATGACTAATATTTGTGTGATGGGAAGTGCAGGGTGAATTTGGGGTGAATCTGGGAAGAGCTAACTTGTCTAAGCTCACGTGCTCTTGGTAACCACTTCTTGTTCTGTCCATAATGTTTTATTTTCCTTCAGGAAAGTGCTAAGAGAATTAGACTAATGAATGCATCATCAAATGATAATGCGTCTGCTTTCTATGGAATAAATCAGTTTTCTCACCTGTTCCCTGAGGAGTTCAAAGGTACACATTTTGGCTGCTGCTAATATCTTTTCTTTCTATTACGCTGTTGCAGAATCTGTCACACTTGTAGATTCTTTCAGGTCTGCTAAAACGCCAGTTAATGATGTTGTGTACCAGACTGCAAGGACCTCTGTAGGATAAAACAGCCCCTTTCATTTTCTTCTGGTCTTGTGAGGCTGAGTTTCCCAGAACCTGAGTTTAATACTGTTTGTTCTTTCATTCTTCTCACTGGGCCTTAAAGCTTTCTTACATTGCAACAGTTTTAGAGCTGGAAAGTACTCCATAGATTTTCTTCATTATGCATTTCTCAAGAGAAACCCAACTACAGCACAAGAGGTTCCTGGAGATCTAAAGCTGTGCAACGATGGCCTTGGCCTTCAGGAGCGATCTGCCAGGACTCGCTTGTTTTCTTTCTTTTTTCTTTCTTTTTCTTTTTTCTTTTCTTTTTTTTTTTTAGTGAAGATAGTATGATACATAAGCTTACTTTTCTTGCTTGCAGTTCAAGTTTGTTGTTACATGCCCTATTGATTCATCTCAGAGGTGCCACACTTTTTTTTTTAATTTAAAATAATTAAATAGTATTTTTAGTAAAAAGCTAATAATTTCTATTTCTGACTATTTAAATAATTCCAAACAAAACGTACTTTATGTGGTAGATATGGGTTTGTGATCAGTTCTAAGTTTTAACAGCCTATACTCACATKTCATACAAGGATTTTTTCTGCTCTATCACCATAGGATCATTTAAAGTTATTATAGAATATAATAATTATTTCAAAATGCATGAGTTTCTTTGTACATTTAAAAATTAGATATAATCTCATGATTCTACCTATGGATCAAAATTAACTTACTGGCTTCTAATAAGTATTGTTAATTTTTTAAGTTAGTAGATTTATAGCTGTCTGTGTTCTGTGTTTAGCTATTTACTTAAGAAGCATACCTCACAAACTTCCCAGATACATAAAAGTGCCAAAGGGGAAGGAAAAGCCTTTGCCAAAGAAGTTTGACTGGAGGGACAAGAAAGTCATTGCAGAAGTGAGAAATCAGCAAACAGTAAGTTCTGAGGGTTTCGTTTCCTGTTCCCAAGCACTACTCAGACACAGTTGCAGCAGGTAGGTTGTAAAGTAGGATGAAGGATTTGGAAGGTGCCAGGACAGTCTCGGGATGCATCGGAGCACTGGCACAACTGTGGTTGGTTGAGTGTATACAAAGTGACCTGTCATTTTATGCAGAGTGAGATTACCCTTAAAAGCATCTAATGTAAAAGTTAATGTGCACTGAAGTTGTGCACTTATRAAGTGTGTGTGTKTGTGTGGCTACTTTTTTGTAGGGCAGGAAACATATGGACTGTCGATTACTGGTGTCTTTCCTTTGTGCTGTTTATCCTCATAGGAGTAAACTCCACTTTCTTTGTTAAATGCCTCAGTTTAAAGATCTGACAAGTCCGGCATAGATTCTGCCATCATCTAAGAGTTTATGTTGAATTTCATATTTTCTGCCTCTCATATGATAATATCTTTCTATTAAATTCTTCAAACTGTTGGAAATTGTAATGTGTTTCCTGAAGTGCGTTCTTTCCAGAATGAGGAAAATTGTGGTTACAAAGTAGTTTCAATYTCAGACTCAGTCTTGCCTTAAAATGCATTTCTCACAATAAAAACCATCCTCAATAAAACCCTTGATCAGTCACAACTTCAAGAGATGTTTTTATTACAGTAAAAATGAGTCAGAAARGAAGCCTTAAACTAAGACATCCAGAATGCATTTATAGTTTTTGCARAGTAGAAACTTTTCACAAAATTTCATCCATGCAGGAGGAAAAAAAAAAAAAAAGTTCAGTATTTTAAATGACTGATTCAATTTCTTAATTATTGCCTTAGAAACAAAGTTCAAGCATGAGGTTGTAAATAAAGAGCATTAGAGGACCTTTTTGACTTTTTGTCTTCTTGATATCATGTTTTAAAACCAAAACTGACTTACCATTTCTCCTCTTTCTCTGCACCAGTGTGGAGGCTGCTGGGCTTTCAGTGTTGTGGGTGGTATAGAGTCTGCCTATGCAATTAAAGGAAATAATCTTGAAGAACTCAGTGTACAGCAGGTTATTGACTGTTCCTACAATAATTATGGCTGCAGCGGTGGATCCACTATAAGTGCTCTGAGCTGGCTGAATCAGGTTTGACATTTTTCATAAATTTTGAGCCSTTCCTTAGCTTCCAAACTGACATATTTTTAATTTTTTTTTTTTTAACTGAAGGGAAACTAGTTGGGAGGGGCTGTACACTTTACATCKGATTTTAAATATATATCTTCTTCTTGTGTCTGGAATCCAGAGTTTGTTAAGCAGGAGCTTGGGAAACCTCAGAATAAAATAGATTTCCTTTGTCTTTTTTTCACTTGGACCCTGAAACAATCAAAATGCAGACATAGTTTCAAAAATAAATCTGAAATAAATAAATATCTTCTGAAATAAAAAATATTATTACTTAGGAAAACAGTTCAAGTCATAAGAATAAAAAGTATCCCCTACATTTTTTGATTTAAAAAAAAAATCTTGTCCTTTTTAAAGAACTCTGTAGTCCTATCCCTGAAGAATCTTATATTAAGATATAGTTAATAACAGTCCAGATAATGTGTTTAATTTTTCATTTTAAAAAAGAGGCTGTTCATTTACATTCCTCCAAAGTGCTCTTCCCACTTTTTTGGCAGAAGCAGAACCACAACTGTTTAGCCAGAGGGGACACGGTCACAGAGCTACTGTACTGCACAAGGCAAGAAACGTTGTACAGAAAGTTGTTAAAATAACTTATTAGCTGGACCTTGTCACCCTCCTGATACTGCTGATGAGCATTTCATCTTTATAGCAGAACTGGGTTTAATTTTTATGTAGTGGCTCTTGGTACTTTCACAGTTCTTCAGGTGTCCAGAGGAGAGGATAACTTTGTGGGAGAGCATCATTTGGAGAGAATGAATGATCATTTGTAAATGAAGGCACAGTCTCTATCACCTTAAATTTTATAATGCTGGGAGATTATTCTGAGACTAGTTCAAAATGGTGATGCCTCCTTTATTTGTTCATTTATTTATTTAACAATTCTGAGTCCTTTCTGAAAACTTTTCAGCAAATTGGGGAAGCTGGAGATATGTTATCTCTAGAGCTGTCATTCTTATCACTAATCTCATGAGCAGCGCATTGCATTTTACATGAGCTTTCTGGTTGACTTCAAAGCCTGTTTCAATCTGCATAATGCTAAAGCCAGATACATTAAATTTTCATTCATTTGCCTTCTTGCAGACTAAAGTAAAGGTGGTGAGAGATTCAGAATACAGTTTTAAAGCTCAGACAGGATTGTGCCATTATTTTCATCGCTCGGATTTTGGAGTTTCAATAACAGGATTTGCTGCATATGACTTCAGGTAACTATTATTGATTCTTTTTATTTGCTGTCCTTCTCTGCCCACTAGCTGTGGGGTAGGCCAGAGCCTGTAGTGCATTGACCAGCTAAAGGTTAAGAAGTTTTCGTTGCTGTCAGTTCTGTAGCTATGTATTGGACAAGAACTAACAGGTTAAATTTTGATAGCTGTGCCTTGCTGCAATGAATCTAGTCAATTATGTGGGCAGATCTTCACAGCTGTGGTTATCTCTGCCAGTCGGGCATCTGTGTAGGTGTGCTGGACAACGTTTAACTACAATGAATGCTTCTCCTAAAAAAAAATTGTTAGAACATACTTCAAAGCCACAAGGAGCAAAATAGTAGCATTTTGCTACATGCTAGAATTTGTTGAAAAACTTGGCAAGTGTTCAGTTATTTAAGCATTTAACTGCTTGCTTAACTCCATCCTAATGACGAGGATTTCCTTAAGAAACACTGTTATCAACTGAATGGCTTAAAGACAACTTCGAGCTTTTTAGACTTTTTATTGAATATGGGTTTTTTTCCTATTTTTTATCAGTACAATACAGCTGCATACTGAACTGGAAGATGAGTTGTAATTTTAGCTAGGATGTGAATTACTGTTGGGTAGAAATAACTAAAATTGATTATAGCATTGTCATTTTGAACATGCCAAATTTACATGCAATTTACCATGCAATGACAGAAATTTCCTATTCCTTTATGTTACCATGCAAGGATACTAATGGTAAAAGTTTAATAGCAGTAATTATCTGCTGTATATCCTGTGGTTTTTAATATATTAAGATACATTAAGATATTTTAGTGTATTATTGTGTATTAAAGTTATTTCTTTGAAGAAGCAATGGAAAATGATATAGCTTGTCAAAAGCTTTTTTTTTTTAACTGAGGAAAGTGACAGATAAAGTGTAGATGTTGTTTATTTTTACCTTGTAAAAACCTGCCCAGAAACCTGCTTCAATAGGTTTGTATCTATGAAACTGCACCTTTTTGCTCAGCCTGCGCACCCTATTTCTGTTTTAATAAGTTGTGGTGTATAAAATAGAGATCTTTTGAATGAATGGTGCACAGAATTTGGAAGAGTTTGATTACTTCTTTCTTAATTCACATGCAATGAGCAAGCCACCACCTCTCCAATAGCTTTGTCATGCTGGCCAAAGTAACCTTGCACTATGGCACGTCCCTTGCAGTGGCCAGGAGGAGGAAATGCTGCGGATGCTGGTGGAGAGGGGCCCTTTGGCGGTGACGGTGGATGCAGTGAGCTGGCAGGATTATCTTGGGGGAATCATCCAGTACCACTGCTCCAGCGGGAAAGCAAATCATGCTGTGCTCATCACTGGTTTTGACAGAACAGGTGAGTTTTGGGCAATCAGACTTCCACCTAGTAGATCTTATGTTTGCGTTCTCGCTTGAAGCTTGCCTCCTGTGCTGCCTGTGATTAAAATTCCCATTGCTTAAACTGTATGTTGTGCCACCTCAGTTCTGAAAGTGCAGTCTAATCCCTGGGGAGAAGCTCTTTTCCTCTCCATCTTCCTCTATCTTTGTGGGACTTTGTGATCCTAAAGACAAGAACACAGGTGTTTTGAGTCTGTTTAGCATTGAAATATTAGCTCCATCCTCTGTGTGGATAGTAATAAATTTCATTGTACTGTGTCATCAAACCTGTAAAAACCATGAGACTTTAGAATGGTGTTAAAAGCTTTTTATGCCTCTAAAATCAAATTGTCTCTTATGAAAATGTTTTTTTTCTAGGTAGCATCCCATACTGGATTGTGCAGAACTCATGGGGGCCAACATGGGGAATAGATGGTTATGTTCGTGTTAAGATAGGCAGCAATGTCTGTGGTAAGTCTGACAGAAAATCTGAGTGCTAAAGGCCATGTGCTGGGTTACTCCGTATAAGCAAAGCAATATCAGGGCGTCGGGGTGCGGATAAGTAGATAATATTGACTTTGTAGCCAGTCTGCTACAAGTTAAATTCAGGACTGCAGAAGTAGAGCCAATGCAGGCACATCATAGCTGTTTGATGTTGCTGGAACTTTGATTCACATTTATGGTTGTATAAACAAACTTTTAAAACAAAGATTCATCAGTAATGGTGATTAAAGCAAGTTAACTGCAGCAGTGGTCAGGAAGAAGAGCTTCATTATTTTCAAAATAGCTTGTTGATAAAGCAAGATAATGCACTTTTACTGCCATGTGCTATACAGGAGTGGCCAGTCAAGAGCAGCAATTACCTTCTTTGGTAGGTGATGTCTTTCCTTTTCAGAGTGCTCGATGTTACTGTTGAGGTTGAGAGCTGTAGGTTGAGATCTGCCACCCTTTGACACCTTCACAAGCTGCAGCGAGGCTTTGCCCTTAGTACTCAACAATCCAAAAAGGCTCAAATTGAGCACGAATAAAACCACAGTTGCTTTGGACTTCTATGTGTTTGGACTTCTAAGCTGTTCTGTGGTCTCTGGGTGATCTTACAAAGCTTTGCAGTTTCATGTTGTTTGCTAGTCTACTATGAGCAACCTGAACACGGTGCTGCATCTGATTAAAAAGAGAATTTTAAGCTTTAGATTCAGCAGCCATATCATACTGCTGAATTCTCAATTCCTAAAATTGTGAATGTGGAAGCAGAGGAGAGAGGTGATTAGAGCTCAACTATAAACAATGTTAGTCAACAAAGAAATAAAAGGGCCTCTGAACTTGTCTTTTTTTTCCTTTACAGTTCACATATTGTCATGATGTGGAGAAGGGAGGGCATAGGATACAAATTCTGGGAACTTATTTCTGTCAAGTCTAGTTTCATGCAATTCTAGTTCCAGGATTTATTAAAATCTTTCTCTCATTTTAGGTATAGCGGATACAGTTGCATCAGTGTTTGTTTGATATTCATTGGCCACAGCATACAATTATTACTTGGTTAATAGTTTGGTGTATACTGCATGTGAAGACTACTTCAAAGCAACATTTCTTAACCACAAAAATAATGTCCTCAGACATGGCTTGACCAGGGTTTTTAAAAATATTTGCATTTCAAATATGTGCTGCATATCAGATCTCACCTGGAAGGAGAGAGGACTGAGTGTTGATATTGACTGCAGAGTGAGGAAAAAGGAAGTCACAAAAATAGACTGAAACTGTAAATTTAAAACACTCTCCCAGTGGTGTTGAATCCTAGAAAAATCCACTCCATAAGAAGTCTTCTGACAAGGAAGGTAGTGATGACATGATAAGGATTCTGAAGCAAGAAATCAGTKGTGTGACAGAGGCTACCTGAAATGTACTGCACGTGAGAAGAACSAGGATTAAGCCTGTTCTTATTCTGGGGAGGAAAGGTTAGAAGAAAATATTATGTTGGGTGTTTTATTATTATGTCTGTGCTTCTCTAGCACCTCAGACATATGTTTTGTCCTCCTTTTTGTAGAATACTATTTTTTTTCCTCCTCCTCTAAAAGTAGAGGAATAAAAAAGGGAGCTGTAGAGTCATAAAGTTGTTTCCAGAGCAACCAGTGTCCCTATTGCTGCTGTCCTTCCATTTCAGTCTTTGACCTTTCTTGGGTAAATATAACGTGTATGCTCTTCAGAGCAGGGCAGAGGTGCCTGAGTTTTCTAAACTGGTTTGTAAGATGCATAGAAAAGCAAGAAGCAACTGCTCACAAGGCTGTATGGAGACAAACAGCAGCTTGTGGCTTGACACAAAGGTATTTCACAGGTCCTAACAGGACAGATGTTCTGGGCTCCGAGAGCTTTGTCAGGTTCCTCAYTTCTCTCTCCTCTACTTCATGCCAACACTGAAGCCACTTGTCAAGTGGCAGTTCAGAAATTTATTGTAGAAAAAGAAGGAAGAGGAGGAACGGAGCTGTTAATGTCTGTTTACCACCTTTGGAAAGGCAGAAGTCATGAACTACTCCATACAGAGTGAAGGCTGTTTATTCTTACACCTGTACTGATTGGAGGGACTGGTTGGGAAACCTGAGGTTTCAGGTTTGCTGGTCTGTGAAAAGGCAGTTGCAGGTAAATATAAATAGAATTCAGAGCTAAACATGCAATTATAAAATGCTGTGAAATTTTCAGCTAGAATGCCATCTAACTGTTTCCTAGAAGACATAGGCCAAGTTATGAAAATTATTGTAGCAATTTTGTAATTTTTTGCACTATGTTAATAGCTCTGTGTATAATAATCTTATAAAAAATGCAATGAATATTCAGAATTCTTCACTGTAAGTGTTGTCATTTTTCAGTCCTTTCATTTCTCCGTGTTGATAGTTTGAATGGGAAAACGACCGTTTGTGATGTATTTCTAGTTCAGGTAGTTCAGCATCTGACAAATTTTACTGGCTGAAAACCTCAGATTTACAAAATATATACAAAGTATACATTTTCTAAGATGATCTTCCCCTAATACTTCACAAACTCAGTAGCACACTTTACTAACTATAAAACCATAGCTCAAGTTATAAAAACATTATATAAAGCCATAAAAAGTGTGAACTTAGAGAAATTAAAGATATATTTAGCAGGCTTAAGCAGTTACACTAAGATACAGAACAACTCGTCCATGCTCTGTATGGGTTAATTTCTGGTATTTTTAAGAAAAATGTTAAGAAAGACAAGAACCCAGCTAATGAGAAGAGAAGGCAGCTCTGTCGGTCTTGGTCAAAGTTGCCTCACTTTTACTCTATTTGTGTCCTTATTGCAATGATATTTTGAATTAAAAAAAAAATTGAGCTGTCATATTGCTGTTTGATATTATGCTTGCTTTAAAAGATGACAACAGAAAAGCTTTAATACTGCTTTATTTGAAATGTAAAATGAAGTATTTGAATTATTTTTACCAGTATTTTTAATGACAATTCTATTTATGTGTAACCACACACAGAAAAATATGATCTCTAGTTTATATGTATAAAGATTTCAGTTTCCATAGATTCAAGACTTAAGATTTTTCTAAAAATCTTGCTTTTGTAAATCTTACCTCAAATTTCTTTTTGAAATTCCACTAGGAAAAAATGTGCAAATAAGAGATGAGTATGGTAATTCTGTCTGATTTGCTCCCTTTAGCCCTCTTTTTGGTAAAGATACAGCTTTTTAACCTACTGGTCCCACATTGGTCAGTGAGTTTAATTAGGATGTATTAACATAGCCTAATACAATACAGATGTTTTATAATAAGCTGATTATACTATTCACAGAGCTGTTACATATAAATACATATTTACACCCCCCCCACTGTACAAGAGCAGTTGCTCTATTTGAGAGAGAGCACCAGTCACTGTGGTGGATCTGAAGTGCTTTAGAGCAGTCGTCCTGGAAAGGTGCTTTAATCTGAGTCATCGCTGCTAAAATAGGAGCTGTCGCAATATTCTGCTGTATAAAGGAATTTATGAATAGTTGGATTCATCTTTGGTATCCAGTGCCTTGGCACTAAAAACGTTGAAAGATTGAACAAATCCACAAACACCTTGTACCTGTCGCTGGAAAAAGAGAATCAGACCAATTAAAGCTGTTCTATTAGTTTAGGAAGGTCCTAATTCCAAGATWCCCAGGAATCATTCTCTAGGGGCTGAAATCCGGCCCCTGTCTTTGCAGGATTTAGGAACTGCTCTTTCACACACCAGAAATCCAAGGCATTAATCTCTTACCTCACTGTCGAGCGCAGATAGTGGTAGCCGGATGAGCCCCCTGTGCCAGCCTTGCTGCCGATCATCCTGTGCACCATGCACACGTGGTTATCTGGGGAACACACAGCCATTAAGGACGTGCTTAAGGCTTGGTCAGACCAAGCTGTATGACATGAAATACTGTGACATTTAAAGACCATAGATAACACAAATTCAGCAAAGGAAGGATTAATTCTGCCAGTTTTCAGTCCGTTGATACAAAATGATTAATTCTGCCTAGTACAGAAAGTGTACACTATTGTACATTATAATAAATCTGTTACACCAAGTTAACAGTCATTTGTGTTCGCCTAGGTAGGGAAAGAACAGAAGGAATGTTGGCATATGACAACATCGTAGTTGTGAATTTCAGGTTGGATCATAGACTCATAGAATCCTTAAGGTTAGAAGGAAACTCTAGAGATCATCTAGTCCAACCCTTGTTGGAAAATAATACTTATTAACCCACAAAGTGTTCCATCTTTCCACAAACATACCAAAAAAAAAAACAAAAAAAACCAAAAAACACTCAATTTCTAAAAGTCTGGGCATAAATAGTGTAAGAAAGGGTGAAATAAGACAGTTTGATCTTAAAGACAAAGTGTCACAGTAAAAGGGAGAAACTTACACCTCCATTTGGTCATGAGTACGTCAATATCCATAAGAGAAGTAAGAAGCTGGAAGGGAACCTGGAAACGAGGCTCTTCCCTTGGAAAAGCAAAGAGAAGAAAGAGAGACCTCTATGTTAAGGACGTACTATATTTTTCAAAGTAGCAGTTCAGCAATGCATATCACTGACTCACAGATATTTCTCTAAATAGTGGGATACCTGGACACAGTCAGTAAAAGCTTCTGCTGTGTAAGCCTCAATCTCACCCTTGGGAACATACTCCAGATCTTTGTGGGACACTGTGGTGCAGTTTGTACAAACCATTTGCACAATCTGAGACACAGTATAGGGCCCAACACCAGAAGTGGCCTCCTAGAGAGGCTGAGGGACCTCAACCCAGTGAGATCCTTCTCCTTGGACTGCCCTGAGCAGCCTCAGCTGACTTTGAACTTGGAGCTAAGCAATGGCCCTGGCTTGAGCAGATGGCTGGAACAGSTGACTTTCCAAGGTCCAGTCCAACCTGAATTAGTCCATGACTATGTTCTTAACCCTCACCTCTTCTGCTCCCCGTACACTGAAGATGCATCTTGTAACATTACCTGTAGAAGTAGATCATTAGGGCACCCTTCAGTGCTTTATAAGACAGTCGTCTTTCTCCTGCAAAATAGAGTTGTCTTTAGTTTGCTGTTATTTTTTTCTGCAAATTTAATGAAAACGTTAGATAACTACGTCTGTATCATATGAAATACAAAAAGAAGGCTTATCAATATATATTAATGTATTCTACCTTTACTAAGAAGGTGTTCATGGCGTTTTTCATCAAATAACGAAAGTAGTACATCTTTCTGTTTTTGGAGTTCCAATAATAGGTCATCTTTTTCTTCTGACTCTGGTTTGGCCTTTGATATTTAAARTAAAAGTAGTTTTTAGAATTCAGCAGGGCAAAGTTCAGCTCTTGAATGATCCGTGATGTAATTTTTATTTCTATCAGCAATACCTTGTAAATTCATACCTTAAATGTAAGAGCTGTATATTCAAACAAGGTAGAAAAGTCGTTGTCTTTGGCAAAAGAATTATGACAAAATATACAAGAAATATATACAATTAAATAACTGCTATACAACTTGGATAAATGAATATTCAAAAAGGTGCAACATGTAACTTTTCTTTAGGTCTGCGCACATTAGAAAAATCCAATCTTTATTTGTTTGAAGTCTAATTATTTTAATTCTTCATTTTTAAGGCAAAAGGAACACCCCCTGCGCAGAAAAGAGCAAAATGCAAGTAGGTGGAAGGCTTAGAAGGTTGTAAGCAGGCGTTCTCAAGAACTTGATTAGCTTTTGCTTTATGCTCTTTTTTCCTTCTTCGTTAAACATGCGCTTCAGCCTACATGCCTTACAATATTCTGGGACAGCTGAATCATTTGCTTCTAAAAATGAAGAGGGTTTTTTTGTGTGTGCTCATTTGCCAATGTAATTTAAAGAATCTCACAGCAGCAAATTGTCACATATCATTAAATAGAAACAAGAAGTTAATAATGAAGCGGCATGACTTTCCATCATCCATATGGGCTCAAACTGTGTGGAGCTTTACTGGGAACTGTAAATGCAGACACTCCAAGTTATTGTTTCTGTAAATTCAGTTCTAACCCTTCCACTCGTACTGGTCTTTTCTTTTCGCAATTAAAATCCATACATGCTTTAGACATTCTTAGATGTCAAATTAAGAACATAAAATCAGATTTCCTGGAAAAAATATGTGCATTTTCTTTCATGCCTTTGCAAACAGAAGCTGTTGAAGATTAAGTGTAGTGGTCCAAAACTAAATTTCAGGATGTGGTCTTGCCAGCTCTCTCTGCTTATTGTTAGATTAGGAGTACATTTTATACCTGCACCATGGCAAATTCCTCTTCCAGACCTCTTAAAACATTCACTTCAAATTGTCCCCAGAAATCAAATCCCTCTGCTTCAAGTCCTGGTGTTCTTTCCAGCCATGCCTTTAATAATAACAATAATGTATTCAAATATTAATAATGTAAAKAAATTACCAAAGAATTACAAGTTATAGTAGCGTAATTATGTTACTGCAGTTGTTCCAGTTTAATTTCCCGCAGAGATGCTCTAAGAAGTGTGTTCGCGTGTAAGATTTATATCTATGTAGTAAGGTATAATCCATAGATTCTCAATAATTCCTAAATCACCAGTTGTTGGGAGACAAAAATTGTCTCATTCTAGCAGCATTTTTAAACACCAAATCCCTTAAGTTTATAAATACAGGAAAATAATCTTATCCTACGTAAATAGGATAAATGTTAAGACACATGAGGAAGATAGAGAACAATCCAATGGAACAAGTAGTTTCTGCTATAACAGAAGGAGTGAACACTGATCAAGCTGTCATTAACTTACCTCAAAATAGAAGGAAAGGATAATGTAAAACACAGATTTACTTGGCTATTATCAGAACTTCCTTTCTAAGTTCTTTACAGTAATAAAAGTGAAATTGGAAGAAAAAAAATAGGAAGTTTTCAGGTTGGATCTCCTCTAGAGATAATTTGACTTAGCTCCTTCTCATCTGAAAGAAACCTCAAGATGATCAAGTCTTCTTTTAGGAAGAAAAGTTGCATAAACCTCAAATATGTTCTATAAGAGCTGTCATTAGGGGAATTAATAGAGAATAAGTGGATGTTATTGAGGCTTTAGAAAAGTGCATAAATTTAATTATGAAAATGACAGGGGAGTAGTTAGACAAGTTACTGTGAGTTATTTATAATTTTGAAAAAAGTATTAAAATCAAGGTAAGTGATAATGAAACATAAAACATATGACATATATATAAGATGTTATGAAACATAGACATCTTTTTCTTCTTTCCTTTCTTGGTTAGCATATTTTGCTTTTCTTTGGTGGCCTTGTCTAATAAAGGTGAGCATCAATACCAGGGGACATATTACAAAAGTTTCTTCCAAAATAAAGCTTAAGRTCATGAAAAATGATGGAGATGAAGCAGTACACAGATATTCACAGACATCTTAGACTTCTGGAATACAATTCAACAGTTTAGCACTCAGTGAGGCTTTTCCCTTCAGACAAGAGGAGAAGTCATGAAAACTCAGTAGTGCTGTTGGCTTTCTGATGGGCAACTCCCTTTCACATTAAATTCACTACAAATCCAATTTGTGATTGATGGGGCAATTGACAGCTTGCTTGCTTCTCTCACGGGACAAGGGTTTGCCACTGGCAGCGTTGAAGAACATTCTTTGGAGCGAGGAAGGAAAGATAAGCCATAGGTCACAGCACAGAGCCCGTTACCTCCACCAGCTGCAGCAGCGTTGGCTCTTGCTCCGACTGAAGCAGTTTCTCGTAATCCTGCCCCTTGAAGTTATCACGGTAGTGCCGGCGGTTGTAGGGCACCCTCAGGCTCTGCGGAACACCAATTTTGTTCTCCAGCAAGCGAAACTGCAGGCTCTGAAAACCCGAGGCTGGGCTTAAGTAGTCTCTGTGGGAATAGAGGAAATGAAAAACAAAAGAGCTATTAATTTATGGCATGGCTATTCTGGTTTTTTACAAAAGAAAAAGACGGTATCTCTCACATTTGAAGACTACCAAATATATGTCTGAACTTTTGTACTACTGTTSCAAATAAGACAATACACATAAAAGCTATTTTAATGCAACCATAATGTATATATATTTTTTTCTAGCTATATAGTGTTTGTTTGCACACAAAAAACTACTCAAGTGTTTTCAAGAAGGATTTGGTGTGTGGTACAGGAGGAGGCTTCAGTGAGTATCATTTCTGTTCCAAACAGAAAAAGTATCTTCCCTCCAAGAAGGTATTAGGAAAATTTTCACAAATTAATAAATGCACTTTAAATAGGCTTGATACACCTAAGAATAATTACCATCTAGAAATAGAATCAAGTCCAGAAAAAACACTTAGTGGGTTTTATTTGAGGGATTGGAGTGGGCTTGTTTCAGACTTATGTCAGGTTGTCCATGTAGAAAGAATTATTTAATAAAGTAACCTAKAAACCCACATTGTTAGACAATTGCTATATACTTTAGACTGAAGATACAAGATTTGGTGAATCCGTGAAAACTGATCATTGATTTGACCTTATAATTACTTATCAGAATGTTACCCAGAGTGTGAGGTTAAATAGCAGAGAAGAGAAATCTAGATTCTCATGTATTTCTCCTGCTCTATTGGAAGTGCAGAAGAAACACRGGTCTCAAACTTCAATTGGAAGCAATATTATGTTTCATGTGCTTTCAAGTTAGGGACCATTGGAAAAAAAAAAGTGCCTTAAAACAGTGTAGAAGTAGATGAGATGCTGGGTAACATTTAAGTCAAGAATTAGGCAGATCACAGACATAAACAGAATACAATACTTTCTATTGTTTCTGCCATTAATTTAAATAATTATTTTTAAAGCATCAAGTATAAATATCAAAAAATAACTTGGATATCATTGTAGAGCTCGCTGGGCTTGCACCAAAGCTCATTTCCTGGCTGATCCTTGTACTCTAATGCCATGGTGCTCTCTTTCGAGCACACTCTCATCTTCGCTGCCTGATCAGGTGTTTCACACCGCCAGGACACACGCAAGTCCTGCCGTAACTTCACAGTCAGCCGCCCTATGGATGACAATCCCTCATTCAGAGATTGCTGTGGAGAGGTGGGAAGTATTTACCTGAAATCAAAGAAGTCCAGTGCGGTCATTGTTTCCAAAACTGAGAACTGTTCCACAAGTAGTTTTAGAATCATGGAAATTCTGTGCATCCGAGTAATAACCTTTAGCATGTTCCGCTCATCTCTTACCTTGAGAAAAAACAAGGATCACACCAGATGGAGAACAGGGCTCTCTAAAGAGCTTGTGTTTTACCTACCTAAATCTTTTTGAAGTTGTATATCACTATAGTTCCCAAGCATTTTCCATAGCAGCAGCAAAATCTCATGTTGAACATACAATCCTATTTTTAATTGAAATATGAAATGATAATTTTCAAAAGACCAAAATCTGATTTTCTGTCGGTGCTAATAGCTCATAACTGCGTCATATATCAACTTCCTTCAAGAGGAAGTTGAACACGTGGCCTTCAGAAAAGGCTGATGAAACTCTTACTAATTTTAAAAGGATCTTTTATTTTGGTGCACACAAGCAAAAAACATCAAACTACAAAAATGAAGGATGAAAACCATTTACCTGATCACCTTACCCTATTTTTAAGCTTAACATTGACATTTCAATTTCCAATCAAAAATTTAGGTTTATCACTGAAATAAATAATGAAGAATTATTCTTCTTAAGAACTAATTGTGACTTTGCTATTATGTTGCACTAGAAAGCCAACAAAATTACAAATATTGAGGAGAACAAAAATATTTTCTTTGAACATTTTAATTGAAAGGCTCCTTATTTTCTGTGTTCTCCTCTCAAATTTTCTTCTCAAAACACACATTCAGGATGTTATTCAACACACAAGGCATATTTCAAATTGCATGCAGACAGCCATCTTTCTGTGATATAGAATAAAATCAGGAGTTTGGCTACATTATTTATAGTTACAAAATGTATTTAGTTTTAGACACATGTTYAGAGAGGTTACGTATTATTTTGAGCTATTTATAGTTTTATATATAATAAAATCAATATTTGTCCTTTTTTAGAAATTATCACACAATCATATATAGTGATTTTGATTATTGGTGTTATGCTTGATTTAATAATGCGCAATTCCTGAAAATAGTTTTCCTTTCACCCATCAGACACTGGATGGAAGGGGTTACCACTACAGTCAACAGTATATAGAATGTCTCTTGCAAATATTTGAAAAAAGCCAGAAGTGGCATTTCAACATAAAGATACACATTAGCCTTCTGTTTTTCAGGGTTGCCTTTGAGCACGCAAAATATTCTGAAAAGAGAGTCTGCAATGTTATCCAGTGCTAGCAGGAGAGTATAGAGCATTTCGATCCATGAGCTTAGTCCTGGAGAGGGATGTATGTAGAAGGTAGATGGCAGGAGGAAATGGCATTTTGCAGACCAAAGGTCTGTATTAYTGTGATAGAGGAACTACTCAGAAAAATTTCAGTGTATTTTGTGTGTGTGTGTGCACGCGCGCACATGTATGTGTTGTTGTTTTATGGACACAAATACACATTAAGTTAGTAAAACCCAAATACATCAGGCCAGGAGGCAAGAGGAAGGAGAAAGGCCCAAATTTTCCCCAAAAGCATATTTGTTCTCAACTTACATGGCCATTTTGAAAGATCACCCGAACAGAGTCCATTTCCCATAGAATCTGCTTAAACCAAAGCTCATAAGCTACAAGAAAATAAGCACTGTTAGCATTAACTTAACATCTCTGGGTTTTCTTCATACTATTAATGAAATGAAATATTTATATTTTGATTAGAAACGAATAGCTTATATTTACACTGTTGGTATATGCAATGCTGCTATACACACATGCATCCATTTTAAGCATGCCACCCCTTACCCAAGGTATTATTACATGAAATAATTTAGCTTCAAGAATATAAACTGATCAGATGAAAAAGATGTTATTTGATATACAGAATTCCCATTACAAAGGGGAAAAGATAAATTAGCCCTGACACTCCAGAAGCAGAAGCAGCACTGTGGCATCCCCAGCTAATCCCAAAGCTGTTTATAATCTTTATACAGATTGAATGTTCTTGGCACAATGGTTAAAATGCGACTGAGGCTTCAGAGAAGACACAACCCAACACACTGCACAGTAGCCCGTTACTCAGATRGGAAACCAATTTCCCCATCTTCATTTTTCTATAAACAGAATTCAAATCAGAATTCAATTTATTAGACTCCAAATATTATAATGCTTCCTAAGTATAGAGTTGGATACAGCCCTACTAAGGATATAGGGAAAATACACAAATATAAGCACAGAYAAGAGAGTGAGAGAGTTGTAGTGTCTAAAGCGGAAATTATTTATACATTGTACATTTTAGCACTAATTTACTCCCCTTGCCAAGAACACCAGCTAGCTACACCACGACTCCTCACAGCCCCTTACCTTGATGTGTCACAATAAAAAGATGCTCATCATGGATTTTGTTTCCTTTCTTTTCACTCTGGAGTTCTTGAGCATTCAATATTTTGTTCAGCTTAAAAATAAAAGTAAAACTATTCAGTAACGCTCTCTATTCTGCTAGCAGCAGTGGTGTGGCAATTAGAAATACTATACAAAAAAGTATAGGCCTTATATTCCAGCCTGTATTAAAAGTCAGACTAAATGGTAACAGGAGTCTCTTACTTTTTAATTAAAAAAAAAAAATAAAAAAAGAACTGCCTAAAACGAGGCATTTAGATATCTCAGGCAGTAGAGTTCAGAAAATAATTCCAAGGGTTTTTTTAAAAATTACTGGAAGAAAAAGAAAAAAGAAAAGAAAAAAATCCAACTCATTCTCCAGATCACATATTCAGGTATCCACCAGTCGTCATCTGTGAAACATGGATCCTCTAATGAAAGTCTRTGTAGTCATGGGGAGGAAAAGTGTCAAAATGTCTTAAGTGGGAGCAGGGCACTGAAAACCGAATCCTTACACTTACTTGGAGATAGTCTCCATAGACGAGTCCGCCCTTGCTCGCTTTATTCAGCCCTTCTTGTGACTTGTCATCTTTCTCATCTTCCAAAGATAGCTTGCTAAAATTAAATCTAAAGAAAAATGGGTAAATACATAGGTAAATAAATAAACTATGAATAAAACAGCAGTTATACTAGCAGATGCACCTAAAGTTCAGAAAATATCTTGCTTTGAGAAGCTGAACCCCTAAAGCAGTCACTAAATAAGAACAATATACTTGAAATACATCTTTTCACAGTAGCAGCTGGTGACATTAATCTTGTGCACAGAATAACCGTGCTCAGAAGACTCCCTGTCCCGTCTCCTTTCCCTTAGGAATGCGGACGGCTCAGCAGCAATAGCAAACAGACTTCTTTTGCTAATTAATTCCTCTCTGAGCTTCGATAACACTATATCTCGCACAGTGCCACTAGAAAGCAGAATAAAGAGAAGACGGACTCACTGGTATTTGCTGCCCATGAAGGGGCAGCCGCTCATGATCCCGGGATCCGCGCTCACCGAGCCACCCTCCCTTGCACAGCCTCCGCGGGGCTCCCGAATCCACCACCACCACCTTATATGTAACCTTATCTCRCTCATAGGCCAACCCCCGGCCCCCTCCTTCATCTCTAGCCCATCCCTGCTCTTTGATAACTGCAGAAACTCTCACAGCGCAAAGGTCAGTAAGTTGATGTGTTGGTCACGGGCTGCTCTTTCTCAGTCAAAACATGACCAGCTGCAATCCTCGCTTTCCCCTATGTCACCCGCTCTCTGGTGGCTTTTCCTGCCAGGGCTTCCAACACTTTCTGCTGCCTATTTGGGAACCAACACCGGCAAGTTAATGAGAGGGCAAGTAAAAGGCAATATTTAATATAGGACTTGTTAAAGTAGGGTAGCAAATTGCAATTATATTTGCAAGAGATTCCAAATAATACATTTATTTTCAAAAATGCACACAGATTTTCTTAGATAAGAAAACTAATCATACACATTTCATGAATTATTTTTTCCAGGGTTAACTCGTGAAAATTTCTTAATTCTATTTCTTCATGCAGAAGTTTCACTCTCATTTGTTGACAGATGTTACTCAATTCTGTTTAATCATCAGCTTAACACACAATGAAGTAACCAGTGAGCAGTGCGCATTCCTTTCGTCATCGGGCCTGCCAGCTCCCTTAAAAAAAGTASTTAATGCTCAGTTTTACTGTAAACACTACAGGCCCCCTGTGAACTCAGGGCACATACCCTCTGCCAGGCTCCCAATGTGTAGTGATGCCAGGTAGTTTCAGCTCTTTTAGTCACTTAAACATAGYTGGTTCACAAAAAGAATAGTCATGCTTGTGATGTAGGAATCATTAAGGTCAAGGTGCTCCTCCTTCATGATGCAAAACCTGACAGTAAACTATTCCTCATTGCTCACATCTGCATTCACAGCACAAGTAGAGGGTGACGACATCTGTGCTTTACACTGTGCCATTTGCACTTAAAGAACATTACTACAAACCAAATAACACGACCTTTAGCATGGTTAAGATCTCAAAGGCACAGAAAAAGAGGCCTTATGTTGTCGTCCCCATACACCTTTAATCCAAACACCCAGCCTGAGTTTCCACAGTGAAATCAAAACTTTTCTTGTGGCACAAGCAAAGAAAGAGTATGAATTTAATCTAAAAAAAAAAAAAACCACTGAACTTCACCAAAACAAACAAACAAAATAGTCTCTTTTCTTGTGCAGTTTTACTTTCTTCTGTGAAACACAGACTTCCAGAGCACCGGTCTGGCCTTGCAACCTTTATATTGCTACCTGGTAGGGGAAGGACTTTGAAGTCTTGGAGCCCTTTTAAACCCTGTGCTTAACAAAACATTAACTCCCACTTGGGGAAGTAAATCTGCCCTTAATTGGCTCAGGAATACCAAGCTCTCCCAAAATCTAGCCTGGGCTCCTGTCCCAAGCAAGCCCCTGCAGTAGCTCTCCTCCTGTTTCAGCAGTAGCAGAGCTTCACTTAATGCAGTGACAGCAAACCAGCCAGAATGCAACAGCTCAGAAAGGTATTTCCCAAATGTCCAGACTGTCTCCTTAAGGATCTTAGTTGATCACTCCTAAGTGATRAATGACATCCTAAGGAGAAACTTGGCGATTCAAGCGAAACCGGCCCRTGACCACCACTGGTGATGATTCACCACGTGCTCTTCTCCCTGTTAAATCCTCTCATGCCCCTGTGATTTGAAAGCTCAGCTGGGCCCAGGATCATCCCACAGGACCCTGCATGTTTTATCTTCAATTTYGGCCTTACCATTATTGCTTGCAACTAGCAACCTTACAGGAGCACGAGATAAGTGAGAGCACACAAAAACGCAAGCCTGCAAATTCGCGCAAAACTGCTAAGATACCACCGTGGTTTGACTCAAGCCCCGTGCAGGCCACAAATGCACTCCTCCAACCCTGTTTGTACAGCATCGATGACGATTTAAAATAAGGAAGAAGAGCCTTTTGGCAGTGCTGTCACTACTGAAACATCACTAGTGAAATATTTGATTAGATCTCAGAAAAGCCTCAACAAATTTCCAAGTTCCTTTCCATGGCAGAGAAAGTCAGAGATAAGCAAGCTGTTAGGTTTGTGTGCAGTGTCGATGGAGATGCTGAGCTCAAGTTTTGTACTTTTATAAGTAGAAGGGAATGAATAAATATGTGCTTACCAAAAAAATACTACCTAATACCACAGGTTCAAAAATTATTCCTTAGCCTCTAGAAGGGAGTACTATATACGCCGTGTACTCTATAGAGTGCTATATACACCATATACACTATATACTATTATTACAAATACTTTGTTCTCTTTATATCAGGGCTATAGAGGAGTCTCAATTAAGAGATTCTCCCATACAAGATTATCTGAACACAAAATGTAACTGYAATTTTAACTGATGGTGTTACCTTTTTCTCAAAATGCATGAACAGTGGGTTTGCCATTCTCATAGTGAGCACTCGGACACACAAGGAAACATATGCGACTGCACACACCACTTGCTGTCCAAGATGTGGGTGACTGGGCTGGGCTATGGGATGGAAAGTGCCTGCACGCCCTTCCTTCCTCCTCTATCCTGAAAGCCAGGCCTTGGTTAATGCAGAAATGCATCAGGGTACAGTAACCTTTAGCACAGAGCCAGAACATTCTGTTTCATCATGGCTGGGCTGAATACAGCACAGACAGACAAACACTAAGGGAGAATTAAAAAAAAAAAAAAAAGAAAAGAAAATAATCAAACAAGAAAAAATAGATTCCAGGAACTGATTGACTGGCATGGCAGAGCATAGGAACAGTTAAACACTTGTCTTACTCCAGTCTTCCCCTTTCTATCTCCGCTTCCCCTTGTGCCATTACACTATCTCAACCCATCGCAGCTGTGAAAGGGCTAAAGAGAGAAACTGAACTTACCTGGGCTGCAACACGTGAGTTGCAAAGGCAGAAGAGTCTCTCTAGCCAAGCCAGCTGGGGTGCAGTATAGGGCAGAGTGTCCTGCTGTGCACTTCATAGATACAGCTGGAGCCAAGAGTCCACAAAATAAGTTCTTTTTGTGGTTAGCATTAAACACTAGGCTCAGGAGAGATGGGTAAGAATGAGCTCCCACTGCCGTGAAGTCAGCAAGACTCCATCTCTTCTATTATTTTAGAAGTGACCTATTCGCCTATATTATGCTACATGAGTTCTTCTATGAAGGAAAAAAAACCCTACATATAAATAACTTGGACACTTTCACCCTTTTTTTCTGCTCAAGCTCTCACTTTGATTACAAAATCTTCCCAGATCAAGGTTCMTCAAAGGCTGTTTAATTTGGACAAGGAGCTTGGAGACCTGGCTACAAATGACACTTGAAGCTTTCCAAAGCTGTTACCCTATTATCCTACCTAGAATTACAGTCTAGGAGTTAGCCAGTACAGATATTTTTGATCCACATAAGAATGACTGCACTGAGTAAAATTTAGGTCTTCCTGAGGTCCTCATGGCCCTGTATTGAGCAATCCTCTCTCGCCCATCTGCAGCCTGCAGCAAAAAGTTCTACAGCTGAAACACATCCATCTGAGAGCGCTGCCCCGGGCTACTCAAACTTCCTTCCCAGCCACCAAGTAATTTTAATTTCTATTTGGTCCTAAATCATAGCCTGTGTGAAATAACTGGACTACAGCCTTAATAGCTTCACTCACTCTTCTCTGCATCTGCTCTAACTCTACCTTCAAAAGGCAAAACTTTAACTGATGGGTTGATGGGAGCACTGTTACCTACACAAAATTACAGTGGTGAAAGAATTTGTCTCTTGGACCATGAAATTCCAAATATAATGGTGAAGTTGAAAAGTAAGCAGTAGAAGAGCTGCTTCTTAGGTTCTTTTGACAAGGTACATCTCAAAATGTTTCTGGATCATCATTATCCTGCTATTTTGAAAAGAATTCAAAGACAGACAAGTTACGCTCAAGTCTATACATTATGCAATGTCCTGAATGTAAAGAATTTTCCAAAAGGCTTTCCAGAACCAAAAGTGTTTTTTTTTTCTCTTTTTTTTTTTTTCCTTTTTTATAAGTTGATAATTATACTGGTGTATCTGCGTTTGACCATTTATTTGTATTTACCATAGGCTCAGTCCAGCACTCTACTTCTAGATATCCTTGTTGGGCTTTCTTCTCATTATTTTGTACATAGCTGAAGCACCTAGCAGCCCAAGCCAGACTCCCTGTACTAGCACAGAACAAGGCCACTTCCCCAGCCAAGCCAGTGATGTAACACAGGAGAGAGGGAGAGAGATAGCTGAGTGAAGACACAAAATAGGAAAGGAGATTTGATACCAAAACCTTGGCTCGCTAGACATTTCCTGATTTTCCARGCTGGTGTTGATCTTTAAGCAGCATTTGAAGTTAACAGTATTTTTAGGAAAAAAAATTAGTAACTCAARGCTTGAATAAACAAGCTTAAAGTTGATGCAATATTAAAAATCTGATCAAACATTTGTACTTAGGGGGAGGATCAGAGCTCAAGGTCTTGCAAACTACAAACAAAGAGCAGAGATAGTGCTGCAAAGATTTTTTTTAATATTCTATTTGTTCTACTTCTTAACCATAAAGAATTGTATCATCACTTCTCAACATACATTTAACTTCCATTAGCATTTCCCATGTCCCAGCACAGTGTCCCTCTTGTCTACCATTTGTGGCTCTACAGAATGGAGCAGAAATCTTTCACATTACTTGATATCTAGTCCTGCTAAAAATGCTAGGATTGGGTGTCCCACTCTCATTACTACCAAATCCTACTATTTTCTTAATATACAACATTGTATATAYAGTATTTTCTCAGTACGAGCAGGCATGACAGTGCTGGGCTTTCCCTTGCCTGCTCGCTGCACTCAGATGGCCAAGGATCCAAGCCTGCCCTCTGAATTGCACCACAAGAGCAATTTATCTTCATATTCTGACTGATAACTATTTCCAGGGTAGGCAGCAAATGTTCTTTCACTGGTACTAACATAACTCCCTTACTTCATTGATGAGAATCAATATTAAAAAGCGAATAAAGCTAAGAAAAAAACCAAATCTTCATCACAGGTAAGAATATGTGAGGTATCACAGTTGTCTCAAGGCAAAGCACTCGTCTCTTAGCATCCTACAGCCACATATTGCAAGGCTCAGCTT